GGCAGTGTCCCAGAGCGACGGAGGGGCAGTGTCCCAGAGCGACGGAGAGGCAGTGTCCCAGAGCGATGGAGGGTCTGTATCCCAGAGCGATGGAGGGGCAGTGTCCCAAAGCGACGGAGGGTCTGTATCCCAGAGCGATGGAGAGGCAGTGTCCCAGAGCGATGGAGAGGCCGAGGTATGAATCCCAGCTCAGCGTGGCTTACCTTGTTGCTGCTGAGGAACGGACTGGAGGCTGGAGCGATGTGGGACAATTGCTGGACTTGGACCTGGCACCACATACTGCATACCGCATACTGTGCTGCTGTTATCAGACTGTAATTTAAAACCTTTTCTCTATGTTGCAACTACCTCTGTAAGTAATGATTATGCTTTCCCTTAATCCTCTTCAAATGAGCACAATATACTTTGTAAGATTTGTACCTAGGTACTTAGAATAGAATCATAGAATCCCTACAGTGTGCAAACAGGCCCTTCGGCCCAACAAGTCCACACTGACTCTTGCAGCATCCCACCCAGACCCATCCCCCCTATAACCCACCTAAGCTACACATCCCCTGAACAATACAGGCAACTTAGCATGGCACCCTAACCCGCACACCTTTGGACTGTGGGAGGAAACCGGAGCACCTGGAGGAAACCCACGCAGACAGTCACCCAAGAGTGGAAGTGAACCCGGGTCCCTGGGAGGCAGCGGTGCTAACCACTGAGCCAGCTTGCTGTGCATAATTTAATTCCATTCTATCTTAGTTTCCTCATCTTAGTCCTACCCCATATCCTGAGACTGTGTCCCCCTGCCCCGGTTCTAGACTCCTCCCAACCAGGAGAAACATCCTCCCTGCACCGAGTCTGTTCAGCTCTGTTAGAATGTTGTATGCTTCAATCAGATGCCCCTCTCGATCTTCTAAACTCGAGTGAATACAGGACCAATGTCACCTCATGGGACAGTCCTGCCATCCCGGCTATCGGTTTGGTGAACCTCCGCTGCACTCCCTCTGTGGCAAGCAGGGAGACGAAAGCCGCACACCATATCCCAGGTATAAGTGCAGTCAGATATCCCTACATCTGAGCGTAAATCTCTCTGGCCAGGTTTCAGTGGCTAACATAAGGTCGCATGTTGATGATTCTGATGACAAAATCTCTGCCCGTTTCAGCAGCTGAGAAAAGGAGAGTGTAAAATGCGGTTAGGTGGAGCTGTATGCAGCCTACACGTGACTCCAGACCCCACAGCGAGGTGATGGACCAAACTAACTGACGGTATAACAACGGCACGGGCAGGCGAGTTGCGGGGAAGACACAGAGGGTCTGTGAAGGGATATCAATACATTAAGTGAACGGGCAAATGTCTGACAAATGCTGGAAAACAAGACAAGATGTATAAGAAAGGCGGAATGTTATTCAAGTATAGGGGAATCTGCACGATTCCACATTGCTGAGGGATCTGGGCTAATTCACCCAGACTGAACAACCCTGAACACTACATGGCCAATTTGCTTAACCTGCACATCTTTGGACTGTGGGAGGAAACCAGAGCACTCAGAGGAAACCCACGCAAACACGGGGAGAACGTGCAAACTCCACACAGTCGCCCAAGGGTGGAATCAAACCCGGGTCCCTGGCGCTGTGAGGGAGCAGGGCTAACCACTGAGCCACTCTAAGAAGTGTTGGACACAGACCTTGTGGGAGAAAGCTGTGAGCAACGTTGAAAATTGTTGATATAACAAGGTGTAGAGCTGAATGAGGCCAAGCAGTATCAGAGGAGCAGGAAAGCTGACGTTTCGGATCGAGACCCTTCTTCATCCAGCTCTACACCTTGTTATCTCAGATTCTCCAGCATTGGCAGTTCCTACTATCTCTTGAAAATTGTTGTCTTATTTTTGACAGGAGTTTAAAATGTTGTGTGCTAGAAGAGGTTCCTTTTGTACTCATGTGAGAATTATTGCTGCATGTCTTAGACTGTTTCTTAATCATATATTGGCACGACAGAGAATTGGCTAATGGGCAGGATGCAGTGAGTGAGGATAAGGGGTTCTTTTTCAGGTTAGCATCTGGAACCAGTGCAGTTCTACAGGGATCACTGTTGGCACCACAACTGTTTACAATATATATTAATGATTAATGAGGAAAGCAAATTCATTTAGTTTACCCTGTAACAGTTCTGTGATTGCGTCTGTAAATCACACTTGACAAGCGCTTTGGCAACTTGATAAAACCTCCTGTCTCAGTTCCTGCAGTGGGTAGCACTCTGGCTTCTGAATTGAAAATCTGTGGGCTCGTGTCATCAAAACTGACACTCAAGGCACTGACAGCTCATGGTAGGTCCGTAAGAAACTACAGAGAGTTGTGATCACAGCCCAGTCCATCACGCAAGCCAACCCTCCATTCACGGACTCCATCTGCACTTCTCTCTGTTTCAGAAAGGCAGCCAACATCACCAAAGACCCCTCCCACCCTGGTTATAATCTCTTCCAACCTCTTTCACCGGGCAGAAGATACAGAAGCTTAAACACATGTACCAACCAGTTCAAGAACAGCATTAGACTTCTGAATGGACCTCTCAAATTTCAAATGTAATATTGACCTCGCTCTTTGTCCACCTTCTGTACACATCGTAACTTGGTATTCCTCACTGCTCGATCACCCGATGATCTTTGTATGTCATGATCTGTCTGTATTGCATGCAAAACAAAACTTTTCATTGAACCTCAGTACATGAGACAATAATAAGTCAAATAATATTGAGGAGAACATGTTCATGTGGAGAGAGGAGGTCTGGCTAACTAACAAGAAACAGAAGAATCAGAACAAAAGGG